CTTGGAATCGGCCCAGCGGCGTGTAACCTGTGTAGAGGGAAGGGTTTTGCTCTGGATTTCTGCAGGTTTTTGTACTATGGTAGCCTCAAAGAAATTACCCAACTGAAAGGATATGAATGCACATTCACAACACCTTTTCTTCTCCTTTTTATTTTCAACGAGATAAACAACACTCTTGAGAAGGCTCAGACTGGATTAGCTTTGAATTCCAAAGTACAGTATTGCTGCTGAATTTCAAACTGGGTAATAATTCTGGCTAATAGGAATAACTGGAAAATTAGAGTCAGGCTCTCTTCTCATTTACTGTAAATTCACCCCACTCTAAATCCTGTAGCACTGTTTCAGGCTCATACAGATCTGCACTTCACTTTATAGCCAGGCAAAATACATGCATTCATATTCAACTTTTAAACTTGCTTAGTGGCAGAGTGACCATCAGAGGTCCCTTCCAACCTGCATTGCCACAATCCTTTGACAAATGGTGGTGTAATTATGAGCATTTGTGAAGCAGGATCACAGTTCAAAACTAGAATTCTTAAGCTTTTGCCATCATATATTTGAGCTTTGGTTCTTCGTATCATTTTGTTGATGAAAACCAGACAGCAAGCCAGTTTTTAAGTTTCTGTCTCTGGTGTAATTGCAGCTCGCTATCACTAGCACACCCTCAGTCAAGTTTATAAAGATCCAGATCCAGTCTCTTGGCAGGGCAGACATACAAAACCACTTGACATCTGCGTTCATTAAGGTATGTTGTGTTTTACCACATTTGAAATGGTGATTAAACAGGGGAAATTTTATCTGCAAGGAAAGTTACTGCAAAATCTTGCTGAGCCTTGGCAGAAGGAAATGGGAAGTTCCCCTGGAAGCAGCAAGTACATTGTTCTCCCTTACAATTGGGTCCATTAAAGTTACTGGGAGTTTGTATTCTATTCAGATGGGGATTTGAACCCTTAGGGGGAAAAAAAAGGCCTTTTATCACCTCAGAAGAAGAATTAACACCATTGCTCTAATGTAGAGGAAAGGGGTGGGAGCACACCAGAAGTCACTGTTTACAAAGGATGTGGGGGGGAAAAACAAGTTTGTTTTTCTGATTTTCTCTGCTGACATCGCACTGAAAGAAAATATTTGTATCTCATTACTGAAGGAGCTTGATGCTGTCCGGTTGTCCCTGCACATGCCTTATATGTCTGTCTAGAGAGTGAAGGGTGACTGAAATCATGCTTGCAAGGACACTGTCCAGGCTTACGTGCCTGTGTACTACTGAATTATAATTAATGCTAACAAATGCCAAGCGAAGCTGTTACAGCATCCTTAAGGAGGCTGAGCAGCCAAGATTTCTTGCCACATGCTCTGGCTGCATCATCAAAAATTTATCCAAAACAGTTAGCAAGCAGGTGCTATTGGAAGCAGTGTCCTCACCTGCATGTGTGCAGGGGTAGTTAGCGAGGTTTGGAAAACCAGGGGTATCCTCAAAGCTTCTTTGCCTTTTCCAAAGCTTTAATGCAAAGTATTGTTTTTCAAAGGAAGTTTTATTTCCGTCACGTGTACTGAAGTAAAGGCTGAGCTAGGCAAATGGTATAGATTTCTGTCTGAAGGAGGATTCTTACCCTTAGAGAGCCTTTGCCTTTCTAAAAGCAAATAAGGCAACACATCCTGAGACGTGTAACCTGGGGAAGGAGCCCTTGCTGTAGGAAAGGAGGAGAGCAGGACCCCCTTGTGCTACAAGTTCTTTGAGGCACTGGGGCAGTCCTTACAAGAAGGAATATTTTTGGTTGGATATTTACATTTCCAGGGAAAACAAAAGAAGTCCACGTGTCGCCCCTCTTTCCCCGTCTGCTGTCTCAGCACCTCTCCCTTGCTCCGTGGTGAAATCTGCTTTGCCAAGTGACAGTAATTTCCCTCACATGGAAAGAAACTGTATTAAGACTGAACTAAGCATTTTACTTTCAGGATTTTTGGTTTTCCAAATATATCTTCATTATATACAAAAGATGCCAAGGACCTCATTTCTCGTGTTTTTGTACCCCATTGAGAACTATGGGTTTTGCTTCCTCCTGCCACTGACCATCTACCAGTGATGGTCACTTTATCTATACTAATTATACACATAAAATTATAGAGTGTGCACCCTTGATATTTTCCTTGTTTGTAACTCTCTTATGGAAAAGCAGGATCAGAGTCTGAAGCTCCCCAGCCTGCTTCTGTAAAAACTACCTCTGTGTTTTGTTGCAGATAAATGATACAACTTTCCTGTTCAATAGCCGTGGGATATTCTTCGTGGTGGTAGATGCATGTTCAGGAGCAGTTGTGAGTAGGCGGCACTTTGACATGGTTACCAGTGAAAATGCTGCCAGGACAATTACTGATTATGTTCAAACATCTGTAAAAGAAAGGTAAGCAAACTGCAGAGAGCCCATTTCGTGTGGCTGATAGACATAGAAAGGAAAGTTACCTGCTTTCAGAGGTGTGCTCTGAACAGTTCTGGTGCAGATTAAATATATACAAATCCCAAATATCACCCAGATCATATGAGAAGCAGTGTCTCTCTCCCAGGATTGCACAGATTAGAGCAGACAGAGACAAGTTTTCTGGAAAACTGGCAATTCCTTCTAAATTAACAGTTCATTTTCCAGCATGGAGTAGATAAGGTCCTTGCAATGACATTTGCAATCCTGCACACCTATCCTGGTGTCCAGCAATTTCCTGGCAGCCGATGAGTCAGTTTTCCATTTCTGAAACCAAGTTGGGTTTCTGTTTACCCTCGCTGATTGTTTTTGCCTCTTGTGACAGAAGAAAAATCATCCGTGTGCCAGATTTTCCAGTAGCACTTTTCTTGGACGAGCCAGTGAACAGACCTGTCTGCCTGCCGGCTCCCTTACCTTGCGTGTGCCCTACTGATGGTCTGGATCATCTCTGTTTGTGTCTGTCCCACATTCCTTGTGGTTTTATGTGTCGCCACACAAGCACGGAACAACAGAGATTTATAGATAAATTCTTGGCTGCTGGCAAAAGCAAGTCCAGAAAACAGACTTTCAGTCCAAGACATTTCTGAGCAGCTCATGACCAAAGATTTGAATACTCCTGAGTTACTACATCTATATTTACGCACATGAGTCTGTACATGTATAAAACATGCATGAAGTGACATATATCCACACAATGCCTGTATATTTGGTTTGATTTTCTGGTAGGATATGTATTTTACAAGTCTAGGCATTCAGCTAAATGCAACCAGTTGTGCAGCCTGTAATTCAGTGCAGGTACAACTCACTGAGGGCTGTGAGGTTCAAAGCTGGACTGAGGCTTGACCGAAAATCAGACCAAAGATACGGGTGTATCCAGTGTCTCAGGACTGTACAGCAATTGAATTTCTTCGGCAGCTGAGTGTGATGTTCCCATAAGGGATGCATTCAAAACCAGCCATTTGTGCTTGTTTTGACTCTGTGTGAAGCACAGGTTTAATTTAGGAACATTTAAACAGAGGGTTAAGCTTAGGGAAAGCTTACGTGTGATCGAAATCAAAGGGATTTTAGCATGTTCTTATAGGTAAGCAAGCTTTCAGTACTTTTCTGAATTGGTGCTTAAAGGTCTTGGAGGTTCTTAAGTAAGTTTTTGCAGTCATGCAGTAATTACTGTCTTTTTCTTTCAGATCACTTGTTCTTGTGTGCTCTAGAGATATTGCAGACGTGTTGAGGAGCTCGGAAATGACTGTTTTTACCAGGTTAGGTTCAGCAAAGCCTATTGTCTTCCACAAGGAAGGTAAATGAACTTTAACCATGTTTCTTTTGCTTAAGAATTACTGGTGTGTTTCCCTACCAAGAATGTACACATATTTATACAGTGCTTATCAATATATTTCTTACCACAATATGCCAGTGTAACCTACTAAAAACCTCTTGGCTTAGGGATGGTGAGAAGTAGAAGAGTATGGTGAGAAGAGAGGAGAGTATTTCAGAGTTTTGACCCTACTTCACCAATGAGAAGCTGCATGCTACAATTTTTTTCATTCTAAAGGGATCTTGTTTTTCTAACAAAAAGGGCATTTTATAAAGATCCCATCTTTAAAATTCAACTACTTTTCAAGGGGTAACAATCATAGACTGAAAGGTTGATGAAAAAGAGAATAGCCTGAAGTGAAATAGGAGCTATTTATTTTTTTGGATGGATGGAAGGAAGGAAGGAAGGTGAAATCACCAGTTTCAGAAAGTTGTTCTTACAGTTTTACCTTGAATTGCTGCAAGAAATCCATTGGTATCATTGATCCAGGTAATCCATCCTGGGTTTCCTACTGGAAAACCAGGGGCTACTGAATCCAGATTTGGATGAATAATTTGAGTGATAAGGAAATCAGGAAAACAACCAGCCAGCTTGACTCAGATGTCATTTGCAGTCTCTCAAGCAGAGATCAGATGGAGAACTGGCTGTATTTCTAGCTAGCAGCTGGTCTTTTTCTTGGGAGCTTGGGGATTTTTTTCCCAACTGCTTTACTGAAGTTTGTATCAATTTCTGGTTCAAGTTTCAAAGCTCATTGCTCTGACTGTTCCAGGGAAGGACAGTCTTTACAGCAGAGACAGTGATTTCACTTCACTGCCTGTTTGATTCCTGAGAAGCTGTTTTTTCTTTCATCCCCTTAAAAGCAAAAATTTGAGGGTTCCTTTTTTGTTTTTTATCCTGAGACTTCATTCTTTCATCAGAGCCCTGAATACTTTTGAAAGGAATTTTTTTATTAAAAAGCAATCTTTTTTGTTTGTTTTGTCAAACTTTGTTCCCTGAACCACCTGTGCCGCTTGCTTGGGTGCAGCACTTCCAGGTCATTTTGGAAGCTTGGAGCAGCCTCCAGCCCTGACTACTCCTGGGGTACAAACAGCAGCAAGCAGGGCCACCACCATCCTGGGGACGTGCTGGTTGGCGGCCACCTCCTTGCTGCTTTGGTGGGATGCTGGTGGCTGGCAGCGGGACAGAGACGCTTTCGGCTGCCCCTGTTTTGCTTTTCCTAAGGGCAAGGGTGTTCACCCACGTGTCTGCCCTGATTTCCAGTCTGGGTAATTATGTTCTGCTTCATGAGCTTTCTCCCGCTGATTCAGGTATGCGCACTATTTGACTTCACAGCTTCAGAAGTGATTGCACACAGCATTGGTCCACGCTGGGGGGGCTGCGTTTCAGGGAATGTTTCTCCCAAGTGCATGTTTCTTCTGCCAGGGATAATGCAAAAAAAATCAACAACCAAACAAAACCCCAGAAGATCCCCTTGACCCCAATGGGATCAAGATTTAGGGTCCTGTTGCCTGGTTTCGCAAAGCCTTATTTAAATTAGAAGTGTTTACAGGAATAGTCTCGATCCAACCAGCTGCAGATAGCCTTGGGAGACTTTGCAATGAAAAGCATAACATAAACACAAGACATTATTATTAAAATGGAAGAATACATAATGCCTTTGTACTTTGTGACAGCAGAGGACCAGCGCAGAGTTGACATGGGGAATAGTTTAGGCATAACAGGAAGAAACTGATGTAAACTCATAAAATAAGGATTCAAAGTGCCTAATCATTTTCACGTAGTCAAATAAGAAAAAGTACCGATGCTTAAAAAGAAATAGTAAAACATTAATTCTGTTTACTGACATCTGGGAACCTGTCATAGCTTATTGAAATACCTGCAGATCTGGGATGCAATGAGGTTATGGCTTCAACAAGGTTCATTCTCTCTTTCATCACCCTTTTTCTCTCCTAAATGTTCTGGATTTTAATCCAAGGAAAAAAAAAGAAGGGATCAGAAGTTTCCATGATGTGTGGAGGGAGTCCATGCTGTGCTGTTAATAACTGAACCGACCCGTCCAGAGGGTCACTCTCTTTGTGTCTGTTTTTCAGGGAGTTTTGCCATGCTTGGCTACAAAGGACAAGCCAGACCCTCCTGGATTAAAGTCCTTAATCATGCTGGTTATCAGAAAGCCGCGTCTTTACAGCATTATGTTCCCTTGAAGCTGAAAGAATATCAATGTCCAGAATATAATGCTAATGAGTTACTAAAATTCACTTTTTCTCAGAACCACTCGGAGCACATCTCTGCAGAGCCCACCGTGCACCAGGTTTAGCATCCCTGGGGTAGCACCAGCCAGGCAAAGCCCATCACCGTAACCAAAACCTGCTCTTGTTTTTATGGGATTGTACCAAACCGATGACGTTCACTTGTGTATTTTATAACTAATAAATATATTCTCATCTCACCTACTGTGGAAGAGCTTTATTTTTCAAGCATTACCTCGCAGGGCAGGATAGAAACAGCCTGTGAGCTGCCCTTCCCAAGAAGAAGTATTTCAACATGTCTAAGATTTGGTATCAAAAGGTAAGTTTTAAAGGCAAAAGCCTGCTCTCCAGTATCATAGGGACTGGAAATAGAACTTGGCGTGGAAACTTTAGCAACATCCGGGGAAACAGATGAGCTTCAGCATACATAGGTGCTCTTTTCCTCCCATTAACATCTGCTTTTGGAAAACCTAAGTGTCCATCTGCTGTTGCATCTTAGGTCAACTTGGCAACATCTGCTTGGTAAACATGCAATGATCTTATGATAATATCTTCTAATCAAACAGAGTATATTGGGTGCATCAAGGAGTTATAAATATGTTTCTGTCTCTAGCTAATGACTGGTGAAATGATGTCTGTCCAACTGATGTGAACATTTAATTAAAGACCTACAAGAATAAAACTCAGGATAAAGTATGTGCTGTGTTGGCTAAAGTCTTGCGTTCCTTTCAGACAATGCTCATATTGACTTTCTGCTCTCATTGAGGACTGAAATACCGCCAGTATTAGTGGCTAATTCTCTTTGATTTTTTGTTTATGCTGCTGCTTTTTGAAGTAAGGACAAAAATAGAGCTTTGTATGCACACTGCTAAACAACCCATGACCTCACTGACTACAGATTAAGTACAAAGTTACCCTGAAATGACATACTAATTTTGTGTTGAACATGGTGTTACTTGGTGACAGCTGGGAAGCAGTGGGTGATTTCATACTACCTATGTCTTTGTCACACAGGTTAAACAGGTAGGTGAAGGCTTTGTTACTAATGTCCTGTCATTTTTTGAAACTCTCAGAAATGACTGAACAAGTTGCTGCAGGGGAAGGTTAGTGTTTTGTTGGCCAGACTTTTGCTCCCTGGTGAGTTAGTCGCTCTGGCATCCGCACACTGGCCAGCTGATACCGTGCCTCTGGTTTGGGACTGAGCTTCTTGGCTGGGACGCTTGCCTCCATCAGACATATCGTCCAGCAGTCCTTGGACGTGGGGTGCAAGGACTCCTGAAAGGTTTACAGGCAGAGGAGGTGGCTGCAGCTCCATCCCCACACCAGGTAGGAGAGGTGGGAGTTGGGTTTGGTCAGGGGAGAGGTCCTGGTGTGCTAGAAAGTATGAAGAAGTCACTGATGCTGCTCAGTAAAGGTAAGGCACAGAGTGATGCACAGGACATCAGGGGCCTGAGCTGTCCCTTGTGGGGACCGGTGGATATTGACATCCTCAGTAGAGGTGAGGAGTGGTACAGGAGCCCAAGCAGCTGGGACTGACCCTCCGAGGAGCCCCCCGAAGTCCTTCTGAACTCCTGTTAGTACCTAGTTGTTATGACTTCTGAGGCTGTGCAGGGGAAGAACAGCAAGATGTTTTTGGCTTCTGAGTGTAAACCCAACATTGGAACGACTACTTACAGAGCAAGCTTTTAGCTTCTTGGAGATTTATTTGATAATGTGTGACAGGTCCAGACCCTGGATCCCAATAAAACTTTGCAGAGCTCTAACCCCAGCCTGAGACTAAACAATTGGCAGAGGAAGAGCCTGGTGAAGGAAGGAGAGGAATGTGCCTAAACCTCTGAAAAATCTCTATTCCTCCTCCCGCCCCAGAAGGAGAGCAAATGGCAAATGTCTTGGAGAGGAAGGCATGGAGCCGTGGCGAGCCAGATGCAAACAGTGAAGTACCACAAAAGCAAAAAGAAAAATATTTACATCCTGATGCAGTTCTTTGGGCAGTTAAAAGCAGCAGTTTGAAGAGGATTCAGGATGCTGTGATCCTCTTCACCCACTGCACACACTTTCCTTACCTTGGGAGGGAAAAAAGACTTCAAAACCAGGGACGCTTTGCAGTGGGTACAGTTCCTCCACAGACCCTTGGGATGTTCAAGATGGTGTTTTCAGAGGCTGCCGCTAACTTGGCAAGCACCAGGAGTCCGCGTCTGTGAAGCCGCGGGGGTAAGTGTCGCATGGGCGTTGCGTCTGTGGGAAGCTGTCGTGTTCCTCCCAGGGATTTCCTGAGCAGGAGCATCTTCACTCGCAGGCTGGAGTGTCCACGTGGACCTGCAGCTAGTCCAGGCACAATCAGTACGTCCCATACATTCAGGGTGTACAGCCGTCCTGGTTGTCCCCAGAGCATTTCTTTTTTCCCTCCGAAAATGGGGCTCAGCTTCCCATCACTTTGATGCTTTGAATACTTCACATGGTGGATGAGGGCTTAATTCAGTGAAATGCTTGGCACTTTGAAAGCATGTGAAACTGGGAGTCAGTCAGCCTTGCATGGATAGAGTGATATGAATTGCAAATGTTTTTGGTTTAGCTGAGCCAAAGAATTGCTTCCTTTCCTTTTCAAGGTCCATAAGCCTCTGCAAAAAAAAAAAAGTTCATTCTGAAAAAATAGCATAGTTTTTAAATAACTCTTTTTTTCCCTTTTATTTCTGTCTTATATTCTTCTTTCTTCAATATTACAACAAATTTGCAAGCACCTTAGTTTCCTTTAATTTATTCATTGTAAAAATTTCCTTTAACTCCTGGTCCTTGTTCAGAAACTGTTTTTTTGGACATCAGGACTGAAAGAACTTGAAGTGGTGTTTATGTACAGAGTATGTGAGCAG